GTTTGTTTTGTTTGCCAATCAACAGGGGGGGGGGCCATGGCCCCCTTGTGCCCCCCCCCTTAGCTACGCCAGTGATGATGAGTGTAATCTCTTAACTCATCAGTGATAAAAACACGTAAACTATAAACCTGACTGATCTCTTGGTCAGTTCCTTGACGACTGTGAATTGAAAATAAGTTAGTCAGGTTGTCTTGGCTCGCTTGTAACACACACGAGCACGCACACGCGCTCGTGTACGCGCACGCACACGCAAACTCATACCAGCGTGCAAACGCGAGCGCACACGCACACACAAATACACGCACACACACACACACGCTACGTAGACTTACAAGCACATGCACACGCACACGCACACGCGGACGCACTCACAAGTAAGCACGTGTACGTTCAGGCAAAATGCACATGAGTGGTGAACCACTGATCTCTATATACTTACGTATAGTATTATAAAACCGTATATAACGTAATATTATATAACATTATATTACAGATATNCAAGGAGCTAATTATTTAGCTCCTTGGTATTAGGCACGCACTCACACACATTCACGTACGTTAAATATTATTAATGATAATAACACATTGATAACATGTAAATTGTAATTTTATAACAATAAAAATGATAAAATAACGAAGTGCGCAGCAAATAATTTTCGCTGGTTACGCAGAACGCCAACTGCCAATCAACATGCTTAAGCCGGCTGTGACGTCACGCAATATGGCAGCGCCCATACGCTCGACACTCGCTTGCGAATGTTTATGAATCATTGAATGTATACGGGGCCAAACGATCATTGATCATATTTAATCGTGTATCTTACATCTTTCAGCTGACCGTGTACTAGCCAAAGGGCGGTGAGATTGTAGTCGTAGAAGAGCAAGTGCAGGCGAGAAAGAGTACGTCACCGTGGTCAAGTTCAACTTCAAAAAATGAAAAATTTTGCCGTAAATTAAATTTCATCAATAATATATTATTAATAATAATATTATTTTTACTGTGTGTGCCCAATACTTGATTACTGTGTAACACTACTCGTGTAATGTACTATCGTGATTGTGGTAAACTGTGTAATGTGGCAGTGTAAACGTCCACGAACCAGTTGGAACTTGGAACAATAATGACTAATTCAGTAATTGTACTTTTGACTCTAACAGTAACAGGTTACATTATTTATTGTATCTAGTACTGCTGACTTATTGCACGTGTTATTTACGTATGATTACGTCGTCGACAAATATGTTTTACGATCTTCTGTTCTATAGGTTCTTCTGAGTCGAGGCGACACCGCTGCCATGTTGCTCTGGTTCCCGAGCCTCGCCCTGCGCGCCGCGCGTACAGGAGCTGTGTGTCGACGTGCGACAATGCTAGCGAGCACGCAGCAGCGCTGTCTCCGCACGCGCTCCCGCCGTCCGATCGCCGCGGCGATGGCGACTAACCCTCTCGCGACCCCGTCCGCACTCCCGTTGCTCACCGCCGCACGTCGCTACAGCAACAACACGGCATCGTCAGGAAAACTGTCGTCGTCAGGGAAGCAATCGTCAGGGAAACCATCGTCAGGGAAACCGTCATCGGGGAAGTCATCGTCGGGGAAACCGTCGCCGGGCGCATCTCCGCCGTCGTCCGACAAGCCTCACTGCAACATCGGCACGATCGGTCACGTCGACCACGGCAAGACGACGCTGACGGCCGCCATCACGCGCGTCCTAGCCGAGGACGGACTCGCCACCTACACGAGCTACGAGGCGATCGACCGTGCGCCGGAGGAGCGAGCGCGAGGCATCACCATCAACGCCGCGCACGTCGAGTACGAGACGGCGGCGCGGCACTACGCGCACACGGACTGCCCCGGCCACGCCGACTACGTGAAGAACATGATCGCCGGCGCGTCGCAGATGGACGCGGCGATCCTCGTCGTCGCGGCAACCGACGGTGAGATGCCGCAGACGCGCGAGCACCTGCTTCTCGCGCGGCAGGTCGGGGTGGACCGCGTCGTCGTCTACGTGAACAAGGCGGACGCCGTCGCCGAAGACGTTCTGGAGCTCGTCGAGATCGAGGTTCGCGAGACGCTGACGAGACACGGATACGACGGCCTCGAGACGCCCGTCGTCTGCGGCAGCGCCCTCCTCGCGCTCCGCGGCGACGGTGGCGCCCTCGGCGTGCCGTCGATCCGCGCGTTACTCCGGGCGGTCGACGAACACGTGCCGACGCGTTGCCGCGACGACGACGCGCCGTTTCTCATGCCCATTGAATCGACGTTCACCGTTCCCGGGCGCGGGACGGTCGCCGTGGGAACGCTGCAGCGCGGCACGCTGCGCCGCGGCGACGACGCCACGCTCGTCGGACACGACGCCGTCGTCCGCACCGTCGTCAGTGACGTTCAGGTGTTTCGGCGCACGGTCGCGTCGGCGTCGGCCGGGCAAAACCTCGGCGCGCTCCTGCGCGGTGTGAAACTGGAGACGGTGCAGCGCGGGATGGCGCTGTGCGCGCCGGGGACCGTCGCCGCCGGCAACCGCTTCGAGGCGAACGTCTACTTGTTGACGCGCGACGAGGGCGGGCGCTCGCGGCCCGTCGCGGGGAAGTACGTGCAGCAGCTGTTCAGCCACACGTGGGACGTTGCGTGCCGCGTCGACGCGATCGCCGCGGACATGGTCATGCCGGGAGAGAGCGCGCAGGTGGCGCTAGCGTTGACGAGACGCATGCCGCTGACGCTCGGCCAGCGGTTCACGATACGCGAGAACAAGCGAACGGTGGCGACGGGCGTCATCACGCGGGTGCTGCCGAACGTGCTGCTGACGAAGAAGATGGAGATTCAGGAGATTGCAGAGTGAATCCTCCGCACTTACGTCTGCTGTACTGCGACACGCGCATGGGTCTAATGGCAGGTGCAAGTGTGTGATTCCGCAAATTGCTTTCAGTATCGAAGAGTGAATCTGTACGTGGTAACGGGTGAATGACGAAAACTTTCATTATTCAAATTTGTCATTTTGCCATTTGTCATTTTTCACATTTCTCATTATATTCACTCCTGGTGGCATGTTTTACGCGGTACGTTGCTGTACTGGAACACTCTATGCAAGCATCTAATGCATGACATCTAACGTCCATTGCGATATTTAGCGGCACGGTAGTCAAGATGAGCCTGCAGACATTTAGTTTTTAAATGTTAATTATCATCGTTTTCGTTTCAAGATCGAATAGTGAATCTGCCGTGAACGTCTGCTGCTGTGCTAGGATGCGCTATGCAAGCAGAACGCATACCCTCCTAACGTCTGGTTGAAGTGTGTGATTGCACAAATGGCTTTCAGTATCAATTTCAAATGATATTCAACGTTGTGGTAGCCAAGATGGCCATACGTTTAATTTTTGAATGTTATCGTTTTCGTTTCATTATTTTTTCGTTTTGTCTATTTGTAATTCATTCTTATTTATATTTCCATTTTGTTTTAATTTCTTGTTGATTTTTATGTCATTTTTGTTTTTATAGTGTGTAATATAGTTTATCTCTTCTTCATTGTCACTTCCATATTATCTCATTTTAAATGCTATCATTATTTTAGTATCATTCATAATTTTGTTAAAATGTTATTGACATTTTTGCTTCATTATATTTTTTTCCCTTTTTGTTCTTCATCACGAAATGAAAATAGTATAGAAATTAATATGAAATTAATATTTTCGTGGAGATGAAATATATATGGAACAAAAATTATGCTTGCATTTAAAAATTCAATGTGGCTGTCTCACTATATACCGGCACTTGAAATATCGGATAATTAATCGGTGATCAGTCATGTTTCAGTGTCTACCTGATGATGCCCTGTCTAGCAAGTAGCAAGCAATGTCAATGTGTATGTAACTAATATACCGGTAGTTACAAGGGATTATATACTAGTAGACATGCTAAGAGCACAAAATAGGGGGTTGACTTCAAATCATGCTACAAAAGTTTCCTTTGGCATAAACGTTCCTTAGGGCACCAGAAACAAAATTATCCAAAGACACACGTTCTATCTCAAAATCCAAGATGGCCGCCGGCGGCCATTTCGGAAAACTTGGTCGACTCACAACTCCTGAACCGTTTGTCATAGAAACTATTGTGACACATGTTTTTTAGCTAATTTGAGGTCACTGAATTCATTTTTGGCATTAATTTTGCATTTGGAATACATTTAGAAGTAAAATTCAAGAAATAATACACAAAGTTGGCAATTCGATGAAATTTATGACAAAAAAATTTAGGGGCATTTTGATACTAGAGAAAGGACCCTTAGACTTAGGCATCTTAAAAAAAATTCTTTCGTACATCATCTGCATTGTATCAAGCAAGCAAGACAGCGTCTTAGACAATGATCTAGACAATGCATGTCTCGATCGATCGGCTGCGCGGAACATCGATCGCTGCATATGAAGCATAAGCTCCAGTCAGCGATTTTTCAACCATGCTTTTTATGTTCATTATTGACTAACGCTTAAAGCAACAACAGAATCTGAGCATGTTGCAGTAGCTGGATTGCGTGTCAGTGGTGTATCTAGTCTACATACAGGACCGTTTCCGACAGCGGATCCTGATCAACATGCATTGTCTAGATACCATTGTCTAAGACGCATTCGTCGTAGGCTTGCTTAGTACATAGCAATGGCATGTATTACGAATAGAATTTTTTAAGATGCTAGCTATAGTTCCTTTCTCTAGTACATTCAAATTCCCCTAAATTTTTTTGTCATAAATTTCATCGAATTGCCAACTTTGTGTATTATTTCTTGAATTTTATCTTGCTAATGTATTCCCAAATGCAAATTAATGCCAAAAATGAATTCCAGTGACCTCAATTAGCTAAAAAAAACATGCTGTCACAATAGTTCTAATGACAAACGGTCAGGATGTTGTGAGTCGACCAAGTTTTCCAAAATGGCCACCTGAGCGGCACTTGGATTTGTGAGATGAGAAGCGGTGTGTTTTGATAATTTTTGCCTAGGTTCTAAGGAACTGCCCTATGGCAAAAGGGGCCATTTGTAGCGATGAGTTTTGTAAGTCAAAAAACACTTAGCATGTCTACTATACGTGCGTATCAAAGTAATAAGATCGTTTGTGTAATCCAACATATTCTTTCAGGAATCGATCAACTGAAATTGTATAAAGATGATTTGTTAAAATTGCTGTTTTTTGCATTTCTGTTATTACATAATAATGCTGTTATAATGCATATACCATGTAGTGAATATCCTCATCAAGAAGAAGTAGAAGACAGTCAAAGTTGATCAAATTTATATCTATCAATGCGAATTGCAGTAGATAAACGTTTCAATTTCAAAATTGACTTGAGAAGGAGGAGAGTGGAAAGACAAAACAAAATATGAAGATGAACTTGAATGGCTCATTTGAAGATGGCACATGGCCAAAGCAATGATCATACTCAAAAAATAAAGTACAACCAATGGCAATGAGATGCAATAGTAAGTTAATTCTAATAATTATAAGAACATACTCACTTGTTTTTGTCATCATATTTCATTTTACACAAAATGACACTGACACCTTGTAAATAATAAAAACTTGTAATAATAAAACTATCAAATCAAAATACTGGTATTTTTGTTAACCCCAATATTTTACTGGTAAATTCCTCTCGTGCGATTCGCGATGAAAAAAACACGCAGTAAAAGCGCCCTCATCGTCATCGTCGTTGACCTTTGACCCCGTGTAACAGTAACCACTCATATCACAACCGATCATGGCGGCCGCAGCTTTGCAATCCCGAACTGCCGACTTCCAAGCGAAGCTGGACAAATTGCTTCACGAAAAGAGCAAATTCACCGACTATCTTGCCATAGTCGAGCAGAAGACTGGAGTCAGACGACTTTACATCATCTTGGGTGAGTGACATTGCGTAGCTATCGCTTTACGCTAGCGTTCGAAAGTGGACACGCCTTTCACTTCAGTTTCATCAGCGTGAATGCGTTGTATTGTGGCGCAGGGCCATCTCTGCACTTCACCGGCGTTTGACGCGTCTCTTGCACTCATGTAGCGCAGTGTGCATTCGTGTATTACATCATTACGTTACAGTACATTGGACCTAGTATAAGGACAGTTATTGAATCGGTTCTTAGAGCCGTTATCAGGCTATTTATTTACTCGTCCTAACGACGCACACTCATGGGCCAATACCTTTGACACTGTCAGTTACATTCATTTCATTACTCAAAAGTTACCGACTAAATTTAGTTTCCCTCGAGTTGTTACCGAAATTCTGTTCGAAAAGCAATTCACGACGTCGAATGACGATTAGTAATTAACGTGATGTTATAATTGAATATTATAATTAACAGGTATCGCTTCCTTGCTATCACTCTACCTGGTGATTGGCTATGGAGCGGAGCTACTCTGCAATTTCATTGGATTCGTGTATCCAGCTTACGTTTCGTAAGTACTTCAGGGTGCGAAATTAACAGGAGTCCGCAGTCGACTACTCCCTGATAAGCACACTTATGCGTTATTGTAATATCTTTAATTTTGAACTTCAGACTGTGGACTCCCTTATTTTGCTGCGGACTCCCTCTTTTTATTGGACTCCTTTGTTCAAAAGTTAATTTCTACCCCTGTACTTCATTTCATTTTTTCTTTTGATGCCGACCCAAGATAATAGTTCGTTAGTTGCGCATACTGCACATAAATATTAAAATAAATGAGTTGAATAGTTGAAAATGTTAATGGTGAATAATAGTCAGGTGATTTAATTTTCGAGGTTAACAAGACAGGTTGGTTTCATTTACGTTAAAAGAACGAAATATTTGCTCGAAATTATTTTGAAGATGTGTATCAACTATCACTGACAACAGAAGATTCGCTCGGGCACACCCAAAGTTAAAAGCTCTAGATACACAGTTACCGGCATGCAACGCCAGAGCCTTGCGAATAACTTGGAAGTTTACTCATTTCCTGTCAGCGGTGCAGCGGATGTATAGCATGCACAGCAGTGTATCAGGCCTGCTATAACTTGCACACGTGTGTACGGTATTGAGTCATGTATATGTATATATATACACACACACGATTATTCATCTTTTAGCAGCACGCGTGCGTAGCGCGAATTGATATGCCGCGCGCAGCTGCAGGCATGTTAACTGCTGTAAATTATCGCTGTGTCGGCCGTACGGATGGTCGCATGTTTATATAACTCGAGTCGTCGGCATCGGTGTACAGAGCGTATTAAATGCGTGCATCCGTACGTGGCACAGTGTGTATGCACTAGTGCCACTCTAGTACTCTGTAGCTGTACTTATAAACATTAGTGTAGGTATACTACTCTAAAGCCATACTTACTAACACTAGTAGGCTACAGCTGTACTTGCACACTAAGTACACAAACACAGTGGTTCTTCTGGAAAATTGAAAAGTATAGCCGAAAAATAGACAATTGAATTTTTTATAGCCAATGTTAATATTTTGTAGCAATTTTTTATCTGCATAATTTCATTCTAAGTTAATTTCTTGAACAAAATGCACAGAATCTCAGCTCTGTGATGCTTGTATGGGAGTCAGAAACTGGACATTTGCTCACTGTGAGTTGCCAAATGACCCAGTTTGGTCACATTTAGCCAAAAATATAGCTACTTCTAGCTAGTACAGAAACGTGTAGCAATTGGCTATTTTGGTGAGTGGTAACCCCTGAAGCACTAGTACTATATAGGACGTATATAAAAACACTAGTGTTATTGGTACTATATATATATAGTATCACTATCACTGATAAATTGATAATATCAAGAGCATATAAAGAAGGAGAGCGTACAACGGTGAAATGCTGAAACCATGTTGCAGTATTAGTCAAATTTAGAAACTTTGCTCGTTTTATTCTGTATTATTGATCAGCTGTCCTACCTTGCTAACATAAAACAAACCGCTTATCTCTACGATGCTCCTACGCTGAGATAATGAGTGGTGAAAATCGACTTGAGATCACTGTTTACTGCGACCCTCTCTTGCTTTGTGGCCAGTGTGTTGCTTCCGGTCGCCGCTGTGTAGCGCCATGGTAGCGCTGACTCACGTCAGTACTAAGTCTATGGAGTTTACTATACATCTAGTGTGAGGTGGGCACAGGTGGGGGTCATCACTATGGCAATCAATAACAGACGTCATTCATTCCATTTGTCAATCATTGACACGCGAGGTTTCCCGAAGTTATCTCAAAGCGAGGGAGAGTCACAGTAAACACAGATCTCGAGTCGGTTTTAGGCGAAAATACCAGATTTTCACCGCTCATTATATCAGCGTAGGGGCATCGTAGGGACATGCGGTTTGTTTTATATTTTAACAAGGTAGGAGAGCTGATCGATAATACTGCAAAGAATCGTAAAAATAAAGCGGGGAAAGTTTATTAATTCGACTAATACTGCAACATGGTTTCAGCATTTCACCGTTGTACACTCTCCTTCTTTATACGCTCTTGATAATATAGCTACTTGTATAGAAGTATACATGTGTTTACAATAATGTCGCTGGTACTACGACAGTAGCACAGAAAAACACTGGTTTCACAATTAACATATTGCAGTACTTTTGAAAAGTGCTAATCAGTTTTATAATAGATAACAGTACTTTTACAAAACACCGGCACCACCCTAAACTGAAGCACTTCTTTCGCAGACAAAAACTCCATAACTGTTTTCTCCGCGCTGTTTACAGAGCGTGAAATCGCGCGCTGAGTTTGTGGTTCAGCGCCACGCCGACAATTAAACACGTAAAATGAGACCGGAGTGCTGCTGCTGCCGGGCGGACAGAAGCTTGTGCACGTGCCGGTAACTGAGAAAAAACTCGAGGGTTGGGAGGGAAACGCATCCCGCACTCGTAATCCTGTTCTATCCTTGCAGATGCCGGTGCTCGAGCGTGCGCGCGTGTGCGCGAGCGTGCGTGCATGCGTGCGTGCGTGCGTGCATGCGTGCGTGTGATAGTGATTGCACAGCATCTAAATTCGCTCGTGCATTGTCTACTTTTTGCCCTGCGTATAAAGCTTTTTCTGCATAGATCTGTTTAGTGTCTTTCATTTCCTGCGTGCTGTGTATTCGTTTACCCCGTGTATATTGCTGCATCTGCATCTGTGTAGTACCTTCATTTTTCTTATGCACTGCGTATTCATTTGCCCTTTGTATACTGATTTCTCTGCATCCGTTTAGTGCCATCCTGTTCGCTTGCACAGTTTATTTCTTTTCTCTGTGTACATTGCTTCCTCTGCCGAGCTGTGTAGTGCCTTCCTTTTCCTATGCACAGTGTATTCCTTTCCTGTTTCTATATATTGCTTCTTCTGTGCCTGTGCAGTGCTCTTCTTTTAATGTCTACTGTGTATGTCGTTACCCTGTTTATAGAGCTTTCTGTGCCTCTTGTCTAGTGCCTTCATTTTCCTATGCACAGTGTATTCTTTTCCTATGTGTGTATCATATTCCTTCGTTCGGGCGGCTACTGTCTCTGCCCGCCATGTGTGCCACTCTCTAACGCTTGCATCTTAGGTTGCTGTGCTGCTGCTGCTGCTGCTGCTGCTGCTGCTGGTGGTGGTGGTGGTGGTGGTGGTGGTGGTGGGGGAGGTAGCATGTGGGGTTCCCCCATCAACAATGCATGCACGCAACATGTAGAGGCTTCAGTGTACAGCAGTGCTGGTCGGCCGGCCGGCATTCCAAGTAGTGAAAGGTCTTTGACTGATTCCTCGTGGCCATCGTTGCTCTGGGCCAGGAGTTAGGCGGGCAAGCGCAGAACAACAAACAAGAGCGAGTAGCAGTGTAGGATGTAGCTCCCAGTCTCAACACGGGCTGGGTGGGGTGAGGTAGGGGTGGGGGTGGGTGTGTAGTTACAGACTTGTGTAAGATGTGAAGATGTTGTATATGTATGTATACGCGCTTGTAGTGACGTACAATTTCAGGCTTCGGGCTCAGACGTCAGGATTGTTTCATATGCCTTCTTAATACGCTTCTTACGCCTTCTTAATACGCTCTTGATAATAATGATAGTAATGATAGTAATGATAGTAATAATGATAATGATACTAATAATAACAACAATATTATTAATATTATTATCATTATTATTATTACTATTAGCTTACTTAGCTATAGCTCATATATTAGCTTATTATATATTTTTACATTAGCTTGTATATGAAACCAATTTATTTTATGCTTCTAGTGAATCATCAAGTTATATATAGACAAATATTCGTGCTACGTACTAAGAAAAACTGATGTCCTAGCAAATTTTATTTTACCCCATCACATAAAACCAGTCCGTTTACAGATCTTTCCAATCTCAATCTACTATTATTCAATTATTACTCAAGAATATTAATTTAACTCTCAAGTGTTAATTATTCGATGTTTAAACGATGTCGCCTGTACGTAAACCTAGCATTCCGTGCGACCGTCGCGCAGTCTGCGCACAAAACAAGTGAGCGTGCTCGTGTTTCGTTTCGCCATGAAGGAATAGGTAGCAAGTAGCAGAATATGCGCACAAAATGTGTACAAAACAAGTGAGACTGAGAGTGATCACATTTAGTTTCACCATGAAAGAATAGACAGCTAGTCGTATCTGGAGTACTTCGTGTGAAACAAGTGAACGTGCTCACGTTCTGTTTTAAAACTGCAAAAGAATGTGGAGCATTCCGTGCCACCGCCGCTGTGTACGTGCGCAAAACAATTGAACGTGATCACAAATACATGCAAAACAAGTGAACATGCTCGTGTTCTGTTCCACCGCGCAGAATAGAGAGCATTCAGTGTGATCGCTGCAGAGTCCACATGCAAAACAAGTGAGCGTGCTCGCTCGTGTCGTTGCAGGGTGAAGGCGATCGAGAGCCACGACAAGGACGATGACACCAAGTGGCTCACCTATTGGGTCGTGTTCGCTCTGTTCAGCGTCATCGAATTCTTCTCCGACATCTTCCTCTCCTGGTTCCCCTTCTACTGGCTTGCTAAGGTGAGGCTCCCGCGCAGTGATGGGGGAAGGAAGGAGGGAGGGAGGGGGAGGTAGGGAGGGAGGCAGGAGGGAGTAAGAGAGTGTGCGGGGTGGTGAGGAGAAAGGGACGGAGGAACCGTTGTTATGTTTCATTGTCAGGAGGGAAGTCATGGTTATGGTTTCATAGTCAGGGAGGCAGTGGGGAGGGATACCATGGTTGGAGAGAATGTATGTATACATATATCATATGTATGTGTGTTATATGTGTTACAGTGTGTATATTGCTGTTGGTGTACATGTTATGTACAGTATCCAGAGATGCCAACCACTACAATTTATCCGTATTTTATACGAATTTCTATTTCTTTTGCACCACTTCGACCAGTTTGTATCAAACTACGAATTTCACTGTGATTGGAAAAATGTTGTTTTTTTCAATTATTGTCATTTTTTGTCAATTTATTGTCATTTTTGACCCTCAGAATGCAGGAAATTGCATCTCAGAATCAAATAATTTTCCGGGGGTCATGACGGACCACCCTAGCAAACTCGGGTCACTACGTGATCCTCGAACTACTAATTTGATGGCCAGAAACTACAGATTGCTTCAAATATGTGTTGGCATCTCTGAGTATCATGTATGTTATATAGCAGGGAGAGAATGTATGTATATATCATATATGTATGTGTGTTATATGTGTTACAGTGCATGCTGCTGCTAGTCTGCATGGCACCGATTCAGAACAATGGTTCGACATACATCTATCAGCGCATCATCCGCCCCGTCGTGCTGCGCTCGCAGAAGGACATCGACGAAACCCTCGACGACTTCAAAGACACGGCGCGCGGAGCGTTCAACACCGGTACGTACATGCGTGGGTGTGTGTCTGAGTGGGTGTGTGTGTGCGTGTGTGTGTGTGCGTGCATGCGTGTGTGTGCGTGCGTGCGTGCGTGCTCGTGCGTGCGTGCGCGCGTGTGCGTGCGTGCGGGTGGGTGTGTGAGTGTGTGCGTGCGTGCGTGCGTGCGTGAGCGTGCGCGTGCCTGCTCGTGCGTGCGTGGTCGTGCGCGCGCGTGTGCGTGCGCGCGCGTGTGCGTGCGTGCGTGCGGGTGGGTGTGTGAGTGTGTGTGCATGCGTGCGTGCATGCGTGTGTGCATGCGTGCGTGCATGCGTGCGTGTGTGCGTGAGTGCGTGCGCACACGTGCGTGTGTGTGTGTGAGCATATAATATATGCTTCTCTACATGCATGTATGCACATGTGTACGTGTGCATCTTAGCGTGTGCCGCGGCACGTGTACATAGTAATGTACACTTATTATCAGATGTGCAGCTCAGCAGATGTGAGGGATGTGTGGATGCTGGGATGCTGAGATACTGGGGGGATGCTGAGATACTGGGGGGATGCTGA